TGGTAGCCATATTACAGAAATCTTTTTGCTATATGTATATACACACATATATAGTTAATTTTTAAAAATAGTAACATCATTTTGGGAAACTGGTACTTGCATATTATATACCCCCCCAAAGGGGGTTCGAACTCAGGACCTTGCACTTGCCAAGTGCGGCGTCCCTGAGCTACATCCCCAGCCCTCATTTTCAACCCCTTTATCCTCTTCTGCCATCCCTTCTCCTTCCCCTAATTCCCTCCCTATCATCTCCAAATGTCTACCCTGCAGTTTCCTGTCATCTCTCCTTTATGTAAATTTTACTTTTTTCATGTAAGGAAAAGCATATGCTATTCAGCTGAGTCTGGCTTAGGAAAAATAAATTTTTATGACTTTGAACCTGTCTTCTCCAAAGTTCCTTTTTTTTTTTTTTTTTTTGAGATAGGGTCTCACTCTGTAATTTAGGCTATGTAGCACAGTTGGGCTCAAACTCTTGGCAATCCTTCTGCCTCAGCCTCCCAAGTGCTGGGATTACAGGTGTGTACCAACATGCCCAGGCTCTCTGAAGTTAGTTTTTAAAATAACAGGTTATCTTCCTGTTGTCCCTGCTTTGGAGTTGGCTGATTATGGACTAAAACCTCTGTGAACTGTGAGCCAAATAAACCCCTTCCTTTCTAACTTTGGGCATCTGGAATTTTGTCTCAGCAATAAGTGAAAAGTAACACAGAAATTTGGTGCCAGAGAAGAGGGGGTCATTGCTGTGACATTACCTGGCCATGTGGCTCAAAAGCTTTTGGAACTGGCTTGTGGGAAGGAGAAGAGTTAGGAAAGATCCAGAGACATTGGCTACAGAAGCAGGGCTGGAATCCCTTAGGCTGTTGTGTATGGGAGATTCTGGTCAGAGCTCAGAAGACCAGAAAGCCAATAAAGACCAGACTGGGACGTTTTTGTTAGGAAGAAGGACTGTACGGCTATTGCACTCCAGACGTGTATTATGGCTTGGCAGAAAGTCTGTCTGCATTTGGTGTCCAGAGACTTTTCCTGAGACTGAGATTAAGGGCAGTGGACTTATTCCCTTGCAGCAGAAGAGATTTCAAGGCACTTGAATATTGAGGAAGTGGCATGGCTACTTTGGGAACTTTTAGCCAAATCTATATTGAGAATTAAGAGCAAAAAAAGCCCAGCAGAATGATTTAAAATGTTTTGAATTTGGCCAGAAGGGAAGCTCCAGTAAAGCTATGAACTGCAAAGATAGAGCAGAGATCCTGATTGCTGAGAAAGTACAGGAGAATAGAAAAGATGGACTGAGGGCATCACAGGAAGCAGCAGGACTCCACACTTTGCAGCCTCAGTGCTATAAAGGTGAAGGAATTTGCTTTGAGAAAAAAGCCTCTGAGAACTAGGTTCCAAAATGGCGACAGCCACAACATGTTCCCAATTGGTGGCCTAGGGAAGTTGTTCCAAAATGGCAGCCTAGAGAATTTGTTCCTTGGGATTGGGTTCAGACAGCTCAGCAATCCAGGCAACCGACCCCTACGGACAAGAGAGAGAGGGGAGACTGGCTACTATTACTCCAGCTGGCAGTAGACCTTGGCATCATCACGTGGCACTGGTTTTAGGTGCATGCAGAATACAAAAGTTGTGGAGTCAGGAAAGCTTCTGGCCAGATCTTGGAAGACCCGAGTGGCCAAGCAGGGTGCCCCTGAGAGGGCAATGTGTGAAGCTGTGAGTATGAAGCCAAAGGTGCATTGGAGACCCCAGAAGTTTGGAGAAGCCAGCAGTGTGGATTGTCTGAGAAAACCTGCAAAGAGAGAGCAGAGCCAGCCCAAGAGAAGCCATGGGAGCTACAACCACCAAAAGTGCCATGGGGGTGGAGCCACCAAAACACTTCGGAGTTCACAACTTGCCAGAGATTGCTATGGATGCTGGAAATGGAACTGTGGGGTTTAATGTTTCCCCTACTGGATTTTAGACTTACTTTGGTTCCATTTCTTTGTATCCCCCTATTACCTTTGGAAATGGTAATGTTTATTTTGTGCCACTGAATGTTGGAAGTGTTTAACTTTCTTTTCATTTATACAGGGGCTTCCAGCTAAGGGTCTGCTTTAAATCTCAGAGGAGACTTGGGACTTGGACTTTTCAACAATGCTGAAACTCTTTAGAACTTTGGCAACTTAGAGATGGACTAAATGCCTTTTGTGCAGAGGAATGTGCATGAGTCTTTGCGGAGCCAGGGGTGGAATGTATGGTTTGGGTCTAGATGTCCCCTCAAAGTCTCATGTGGTCATAGACTTGATCTAGAGTGTGCGAAGCTGGAATTGATTCATGATGCAGTGCCAAACTCAAGGGCACTAGGATTAAGGGTGTGAGTGCTACCCAGCCTAAGCAGTTTGAATAAGATAAAAGGGGCAGGGAGACACTGTTAACACTCTCCTTATCTTTGCTGCCTTGTGTGTGTGTGCTACCTTGCTTTTGCTCTGCCATGCCTGTTTGTTGTCCCTGCTTTGGAGTTGGCTGATTATGGACTGAAACCTCTACGAAATGTAAGCCAAATAAAACCCTTCCTTTTTAACTTTGGGTGTCTGGTATTTTGTCTAAGGAATGAGAAAAGTAAGTAACATACCTCCTATATAAATTAGTTGTTTTGCAGTATAATTTATGGAATTAAGTCCTCCCTGTTCAATCACTTATAACACCTACAATAAGGGGGATGAATTATTAAGGAATATCATACCTACCATATAGCCTTTTTATTAAATGGCATTACTATGTGCATTATACCAAGTGAAATTTCCTGAATATAAGGTCCGCATACAAATTCAGAGTTTTTTCCATGGCTAAAAAGATCTTGTTGGTGCATGGGGTAGTTCAGGCTTGTTATTCACTCAGATCGCATGTTTTGTGACCACATTCCAAGTCATGATGTCCCACCTAGTGAGCCAGTCCTATATATAACAACTTGAAACTTGAGGCCATGTCATGAGTATGAGCGAACAGACTTCAGTATTCCCAAGAGGTTCTTACCTTCCAAGTACTCCCTGGGAAATGAGTTATGTTCTCAGAAAGCATCTAACTTTATGGAGCTGTACTTATATAAAAGGAGCACTTTAATTTTTAGTTTTTTAGCATTAAATGTTGTAAGGGATGAAAATAGGGCAAAATGAGAATTCATCAAAACTGTATTGAGCCGGGGATTTAGCTCAGTGGTTCTGCTGCCTGCCTTGTAAGCACAAGGACCTGAGTTCGATCCCTGGTGCCAAAAAACAAAACAAAACTGTATTGAGAATCTACTACCTCCTAGGAATTGTGTCAATCTTTGGAAATTCAATAGTAATCAAAACATTCCTTGTCTTCAAGGATGTATGAAATTGTACCTCAAGCAGTATTTTGAAATGGTGGCAAAAAAAAACACATTTTGATGAATTCATTTGGCAATTCTGGGACCTCCCTCCCCTCGCGTATTTCCCTCTTTTTCCTTTGAAGAGATGCTGAGAAGACCAGCTGTAGTTTCAGTCTTCGGAAAGTTTAACTCTTGATTTACTAGCACTATGCAACAGAACTAGGGAGCTGGAACAATTATCTTCATCTGTAGAATGTGTAAAGTCACAGGAGTATTAAATGAGAGAAAATGTACATAATTGCTGCGCAGTAGATGGAAGCCATTATGATTAGCATCATGAAGTTACAACTAACCCATTAGCTGTCAAGTCACTGAGCCTCTGGTATGAAGAAGGGGAATTTAAATGTTTTAACCAGGGTTCACTACATACTTTATGTTTAACAACGGTATACAAATGCTCCACAACTTACAATGGGGTCACATCCCAAGAAATTCATCGTAAGTTGAACACATCATAAGTCAAAACTACATTTAATACAGTATTCTAGAGAGTATGGGTTTACCCCTGTGATCACATGGTTGACCAGGACTGACTGCTGTTGGTTCCCCTGCCCGGCATCATAAGAGAGTATCAGAGGATGTATATTTTGAGCTTAAGATGGGGATCAAAATCTAAAATCTGAAGCAGTTTCTACCGAATGCATATGCCTGTCACAGTAACATAAAGTAAAAAACCGCCTACGTTGGGGACTGCCTGTACAATGAACTGTAGATTTCATTTTTAGACATGGTCCAAATATTCCACTGGTTGGCTATAGTTACACTGAATATAGCTCAAATGACTTCAGCCACCTACTCAGCTAAGTGACTATACCCTACGGTACTGGGCAATGGGAGTAGGAGGGCCAGTTTAGGTTCAGGGCAAGGCCCTCACTGTGGGACTGCGCCAGAAACAACTCTATTGAAGAAAGCCAGCTTTTCCCACGGGGTCTTGAGAAATGAAGCCGAAGAGTAGCAGGAGTGGAGAGGCATTGCTAGCTAGAACTGCAAAACCAACGATGGGGGCGGTGGCAGGTGCTGCACAGTTAAAGCCTTTCCTCCTTGCTATATGAACCACCATCAGACTCATAAAGATGGAGTGATCACTAAAAATCACCGATTTGGATAAACTGCCTGAAACGTTTTTGCAAAATTTGGTGTCTACATGCACTTCTCTGGCAAGAGGGTCTGTATTTCTCACCACATTCTCAAGAGTCCAGCCTGAAAACACTACATTCACTATTACTGTTCAACCTTCTCACTCGCTTATGAACTGAGGCCCAGAGAGTTAAAAGCGATTGCCTCAAGTCAAACAACAGGTACAGCAACAGCGAAGGCATTTTAGTTCCAATTGCGGTCTTGGGTCCAAGGGCCCCTTCGCTTCTCTCCCTGCCCCGAAGGGATTCCCCAGGATTAGAGGGCTGCGGTCCGAGTTTAGGCACTGTCCAGGCAGTCCAGATTTCAGCATCAAGGAGACATTGCCAAACGCCCAAAGGGGCTCGGTGGGCACTAAAACTCCCACACACCGTCCTCACCACCGCGGAATCCTGTTGCCTTGGCGACTCCAGATGGACCACTGGGCAAAAGGAGACCCAGCTAAATAGAGGCGGATCTGCGACAGCGAAGACTACCACCCACTCACCTGACAGAAGAGGAAGCAGGCACGCCCCAAAAGACAGTTCCGAGCCCAAAGAGGTGGGAAAAGGGAGAAAAGAATAACAGGAAATGACGTAAAGCGCACGTGCTTCCAAGAGGGCGGGTACTGGGCGTTTGAGAGGGGCGGCCGTCTTCCTGCGCCTGCGCAACGGTCGACTGCCGCGCTGCCGAGTCACTGGGGTGGGAGGAGCCTGGGCAGGGGGCGGAGAGCGTGTCTGTGTGACGCAGGCGCAGTGCGACTTCACGGGCGCGCACAGCCCTCAGCGGGTTTGGATCCGGTTCAGTCAGGCGCGGCGGTCTGGGAGAGACGTTCTGAACTGACTGGACTGGATCGGCAGAACGCCTCAGCTGCTAGGAGGTAGGTGCCCTGAAGCGATAGGGAGGGACTGCGGCTCCGCGTCCCGGCCTCCAGGTCCGGTTTGGCTGCGGAAGGCTTCCTTCGGGCCCGCCCGTTTCCCGTCTCGTAGTCTCCCGGCGCCGAGCGCCTGGGCCCGCCTCGGCCTGGGCCTTTCCCGCAGCCCCTCATCCGCTGCGGCCTGGACCTGCCAGAGCTCGGCGTTCTCGCCTTTTCCCGCCTTTCAGTCCTCCTTGTGCAGCCTGCCCTGCTTCTCTGCTCTCTCCCGCCCAGCCGTAGCTTCCCCTTTTTCCCCTCTTAGGCCGCCTTTTGCCCCTTCCCGCCTTTTCCCGCTCTTCTCCGGGCCCCATTCTCGTTGGCGGCCCCTTCGGCTCCGCTCCCATCTCTTGTTGCGCCTCCGCCCAACTCCAGCCGCTCGTTTGGGCTCGGGCAGTCTGTTGAGAGGCAGCTTTCCAGCAGGAGACCCGGGCGGCCTTGTCCCCGCGCTCGCAGCCGTCCTGGTCCCGACCATTCATTCCCCCGAACCTGTTAAACCGCGACTGGCCCAGATTCTGGTTAGAAAGAATTAGCAGGGTGCTTTGCCTGTAGCCGTCCGATCTTGGGGATTGTGTACCGAGAGGCGTGGATATATTTTTGTCCTGGGGGCCTGGTGTTGTTTGCTTCGAGAGTCGTTGGACAGGGTTTTCTTCCTCAGGCTCCACACTTCCTGTGGTCCGGGGAAGTTTCGAAATCTTTTAACTTTGTGATGACAAGCTTATGCGGGTCCCGCTGAGATTGTTCTCGGGTCCTGGAAATGTGGAATTAGGCTTGAGGTTTAAGGAGGTCCTCGTTAAAATGAAAAGATGTAAACAAGATTGTGATACATGCCGTTCAAGTCAGAAAGCAAGGAATTTCCCTTTTGATGGAGGAACTTACACGAAATTTACCTGTCATTTTAAAGTTTTTGGGAAAATCCGAGGCAAAATTAAATTGAGATGTGATTTGACTTAACGCAAAGTAACTTCTAGTAAGTCTTTATAAGTTTGATCTCTGGGGATTGTTCACGAAATCTCTTCGATGAAAACGGCAGAAATGCCTTCCTCAAATTTAATACTAATAAAGAAGGGCAAACCAGTTATATCTGTTGAACAGAGCTGGTTGTATAACTCTTCCTATGAGTAAATGGGAAGCTAGAAATACAGAGAAGCACAAATAAATTTCTAATGAAAACATGTTACGAGCTAGCTCTTAAGGGGAGAAGCACAAATAAATTTCTAGTGGAAAACCTGTTACGAGTTAGCGCTTAAGAGCATACCTAAAGCACCTTGGCTCTGAGTTAAAGTAATTGAAAAAGGTGAAGAATTAAGATGCTGGAAACCCGAAAATAGTTTACACAGGATTTCATTCCTAAAGTTTTAATCTGTATCTAGATTTTTATGTGGTCTGTTTTGGTTTTTAGATGATAGTCTTTCAGTATGTCAACAAGAATGTTAAGTTTATATTAACACCTAAGGTGGTCACCTCCCCAGCTATTAAGTCAGCACTGTATAATTAAAAGTTATATCGTGCAGAGCTTCTTAGCACAGTGTTATATTATAAATTCCTAGAGGACAGGAATGATATTTTAGACCTTAGAGAATGGAGACCTCAGGTCCCCTATATGTCAAGTTCACCTTTCTATCCCTAGCATCTAGTCTAGTGCCAAGCCTATGGTAGGAATTCCATAAATATTTGTGGAAGGAATGATTTTCTGCCTGTAGAGTTCAGCAATGTATACTTAGATGTTATGTAGGGTTAAATATTGACTGATTTCCACAGAAGCCCAAAAGAGGGTTTGTGTGGGGTCTTGGGAATTGGAGAAACTGGCCTAGATAATTTGTTAATCCTATAAGGGCACACAGGCTGAGTGTCTGCTCATAAAGTGACTGAGGAGAACTGTAACTAAAACTTTAATTTAGTCCTTACAGCAGTAAGAATTTATTTACAACCGATGGTAGCACTCTTTTAGATGCTGTGGACCTTCAGAATATGTGAGCATCGCGCACTCCTCCTCCCAGTGGTAAAAGGACATTGTGCGTTTGGGGGATCCTACCCTGAATTGAGAATTAGAGACCAGTGAAATGTGGGATTGTGTGAATGTTTCCTTCATAATTATGTATTGGTTAAGTAAATGGACAAATATATATGTGGAGTGTATATTTAAATTTTTTAATCTTATAAAATTGAGGTGAAAGCTAGTCATTCTTTTGAGAATGTTTTCATTTTCCCCCAGAGAAATCTGGCTAAAATACCTTAATTTCTACATATAAATAAGTGAATAAATGAAGAGTCTTGATTCTCTTCTGCTTTATGCTGCTGCTTTGTGATACTTCATGGTTACATTAGACATATTATGACACTTGACCTTTGGCATGGTAGAGATCTCACAATAATATCAAATTCACCCTTGGGAAATGACCAGATAAGGAATCAGAGAGAATCCTAGGATTGGTAGAGAGGCACTGGGCCTCAGGGTGGGGGTGGGGTTAGGATTATCAAGTTAGAAATAAGAGGTAAAGAATATCCTTTGCTTTAAAAATTCTTTTTAAAACAATTTTTTAAAAAACTTTTTTCTTTCTGGATACTGTGTTATTTTGTTGTTGCTGTTGAAGATTTGGTACTATTTACCCTTAGTAAAAAAAATAATTTGAAGCCTAGATTTCAAGAGTTTATTAACAGACTTTTCTTGTTTTGGTTGGGCTTCCATCCCTCTTTCATTGTTTAAATATAAAAAAAAAAATCAAGATAGAAGAAATGGAAAACTTTGGTTAATCAAACTAGTTGAGTGGAGATTATTTAAAGGCACAGTAGTTTTTTACTTGCTACTTCTTTAGCCCTTGACTAAAACCAAGTTCTATCTTTATCTCTGGAGTTGCAAATATGTAATTTATTTGCTTTGTTTAATAACAATATTCAAAGCTATTTTAAAAAGTACAAACTTATAAGTAGAGTATGGAATGATCAGTAATCACTGAAATAAGTTTCTAATCTGTTTTAACAATGATTATAATGTCTTGTTCTCAGATATACCTGCATGCATATTGATGTCTTGCTTAGGATTGCCTTAGAGAAATGGTTATTGTGTGTCATGCGTTTATATTTAACTAGAATTGTTAAGTTTAAACTCGACAAATCACATTTTAAAACATCGAAGTGCTATAGTTTGAGCTTTTCTCTAATTTTTCTCTTTTTCTGATGTAAAGGTTAATTTGTCCATAGATACCTATGACTGTGGTGATTTTCACCCTTGTTAAAAAGTACAGTAAAAGAGACAAAAAAAATTATTTTAAGATAAGATCTCACTGTGTAGTCCACACTGGCGTCAAACTCCCAGTCCTCCTGTCTTAGCCCACTTCCCAAGTGGTGGAATTGTAGGCATATGCCACCACCTCAGCTAGATTTTAGGTGATCTAGTTTCCAAAACTGTCCTGGGGTGTTGGTATCAAGTATCTGGACAGTTTGGATTCTGTTATAATGCATAATCATTTTCTGTGTTAATGGTATCAGGAGTGTAGGTGGGGTTTTTTTAATTGTTTTGTTTTTGGTATTGCTAGAAATTGAACCCGGGTCCTGTATGTGTTAGAAAAGTGCTGTAGCATTGAGTTATATTTCCAACCAGAAATACAGATTTTTTAAAAATAGAAGACATACTTTTTTTGGTACGGGGGATTGAACTCAGGTCCTGTGCTTGTGAGGCAGGCAGCAGCACCACTGAGCTAAATCCCCAGCCCAAGGACATACTTCTGATGCTACTTCTTTTCACTTTGCTTATCTTATTTTTATCTTTAAATTTTTTTAGTATTAACGGGAACATCTATAGAAGTATAAGAACTTTCACAATGAAATCTGAAGCCAAGGATGGAGAGGAGGAGAGTCTACAAACTGCTTTCAAGAAATTAAGAGTGGATGCGTCCGGGTAATTAAATATGTAACATATTATTTGGAGTTATTTGTTTACTAGATTTAACTAGTCCTTTTCCTTAGTAAGTTTCTCATCTTTACATTCCCAATTATTCATAGACTATATAAACCCTAATAGTGTGACATTCTACCAAATTCTGCACTATGTCATTTTACTTTAAAAAGAAACCCTTCTGTTAAATTTGAAAGTAGCAGCTCCCTTGTACTCTTAAGGTTTAGTGCTTTGGTTTCCTTTAGCTTTGTTGAGGTGACCCACTTCAAGGCTTATCAAGCAATATGCCATCAGAGATGACCTCATACTTCTCAAGGGAATCACAGTATTTTTCACCAAAAGTGAATTGGTCCAGTAGAAATCTATGAGACATTGTTGATTTCATGGTTTCTGCTTGCTGAGTCTATCACTATGGAAACCTCTATTCAGTAGGGTTCTGTCACTGAGATCAATAATCTTGGACCCTCTGGTCAAACTAATTAGAGCACCTGCAGACCAGCTGCTGTCTGAATGTTAATATTTCACTCTTTGCAAAATGTTCTTTGCAAGCACCTTCTTGCCTCAATTCTTTTCCCCAGCCAGAAGAAATCGCACGATTTCAATGGATATAAGAATTTTTATGAATGGAAACCAAACATGAACCTGACTGGAAGACTATAAAAAGTAGCAATTATAATTACTGATTCTTGTTTTTCACTGGGCCCTCAATACTCGGTTAAGTACTTTGTGCACATTATTATTATTATTTTTGTTCTTGTTGGTACTGGGGATTAAA